TTAATTGCAGTCATTATTCATTTAATTAATATCTAGAAAATTAAGGAATTTTTTAGTTCAATAAAATATGATCTTGAACTCAAACTTCATTTACCTAGTAAACTAAATCGTGTAAACTTTTAATTACAAACATTGTTATCTTAGTAAATGACATTATTAGAATATCATTCAGAAATTATAGAAATTTCTATTTTCAGTAGTTTCCGTTACTTAATAAACCGAATAATTTAAACTGATAATTGAAAAATTGTAGTTTTTTTATGTATTTCTACAATTTTATTACTTAATTTAATCGTGTGAATGATTTTAATAACAAAAAAGAAACGTTTCCTTGTAACAAATAAGTGTTTGAATATTTACAAAATTAACAAGTTTTTTTTTGGAAGACCCAAAAAGATTGTACAAATTTTTGAATATTCAACAAAGTGTAATGTTTTAAACTAATTTCTATTTTCAATAAAGTTTCAGTTAGAATAATTTAAACCATAAATTTAAAAAAAAAAAGTAGTTTTTCAATGTATTTTTAGAATTAATTACTTAATCTAATCGTGTGAATTGTTTTAATAACCAAGAAATTAAAAAGTTTCCTAGTAACAAATAAGTCTTTGAATATTTACAAAATTATCAAGTTTTTTTGGTTTAATAAACCAAAAATATTAAACTAAACTTAGATTAATCAATAAATATGTGATGTTTTAAAATAATTTCTATTGTTTCATTGTATTTCTAAACTTAATTACTTAATCTAATCGTGTGAATTGTTTTAATAACAAAAAAGAAACGTTTCCTAGTAACAATTATAATTTTTTTTTTGATTAATAAAAAAACAAAAATATTTAACTAAATTTAGAGTAATCATAAATGTGTAATGTTTCAAAGTAATTTCTATTTTCAATAAAGTTTCAACTACTTAATTAATCGAATAAATTAAATTAAAAATTGAAAATTGAAATATTGTATTTTTTCAATGTATTTTTACAATTCATTAATTAATCTAATCGTGTGAATTGATTTAATAACCAAAAAAAAAACTTTTCCTGGTAGCAAATAAGTTTTTGAATATTTATAAAATTATCACGTGTATTTCTTGAATAACTAAATTCAATTTTAGGTAAAAATCTATGCAACTATTGGTTAAGTAATATATATTTCGTAATCAAGTCCTAATTAATTAAATTAATGAACCTACTCAAAATCGTAAATACATTTCTTCATTAAATCAATCTTTAATTATTTGATAATTTTAACTGTGGAAACTTTTGAATAACAAAAACCATCAATAAATTATACAAAATCTAGTATATTTTTTAATGTTGAAATGAATCTTCGATTTTTACGTTGTAAACAGTTTTTATATCATTTCAAATTGATTATCAAAATAAATCTTTGTTTATGTATAAAATGTAAACAATTTGAATCAAGAACAAAACGTACTTCGTTCTAAGAAATAATGATTTCCATGAATAAATTGAACGATTTCGCAATGATTCATTTCGTATGCACCGAGGCAAGTGCATCATTAAACATTGATCGCTGTGCAAACATGTCTATTCGCAAAAGCTGCGAGAAGGAAAAAAAGCTATAATAAGTGTGGACAATTAACAATAATTTATCAATTCCCCTCATCAATTCGTGGAGCCGCAGTAGCTCTTTCTCTGTCCCAAAATGTTGCGTCGTTCGTTTGGACACCGAACGTAATGCACGTCTGTATGAGCAGTATGAGTGCGTATGCCAATTTACAAGGATAGAATAATCCGCGCGCCGTATGGCTTCTCCTCATCTTCCGGGTCGCTGGAAGTGGTGGTCCTAGGTGGCAGGATCCGATCAGTTTCGCTGCTCGAGGTAGGGAGGATTTTCTTTGGTATAAATGTGTAAACGGCGTTTCACTATCAGTTGCACGACTCAACTACGTACGTACATACACTTACATACTTGTACATATAAATATATACATACGTACGTACATGGGCATCATATAACATGTGTTACATATGATGAGTTTTAGTATCACTTCCGAATCCAAGCGCGTAAAGCAAATCGTTCAATTGACCACCGCACGTTTGTCCACATACACACACGGTTAACGTGAGGATGATACAACCTTTTGCTAATTGACTAATTGACTGAAGTGCGTTCGGAGAACTTTCAAACAAAACCAAAGAAACTACCAAAGACAACAACTCGTTCAAAGTGTTCAGTGTTTGATATTTTTTGTGTAATTCCAACTCGAACCAAAAGGTAAGAATGCAATAGACTAATCAACACTTACTTAGAAAAAAAAACCTGTTTCAAGAGTATTAAAAACCAATTTGCAGTAACCATTCGAATTTTATGTTCAAAATAAGAATAACTTTCCTTTTATTGTCTTACTTTATGAAAAATATACCTAAAAAAAGTTGTATATTTATGAAAAATTCCTTCAAAAATAATGGAATTATGTTACAAAATTATTGGGATATTTCGCATGAAAAATCAACAAAATATTTTAGAGTTTAAAACTGTGCTTAATAACAAACATTTTTTTAAAATTTTAAATTGTTTTTTTTGTACGTTTTATGTTACTAGTATACATCATACATAAATATGTAAATCTTTGTAAAAATAAAATGTATTATGTAGTGAAAAATTGATAATTTCGAACATTTTTAACCAATTTATAGTAATTTTTGTTATCTTAGCTGGAAGAAATAAAAAGTACAATTTGTATTGAATTTGAAATTTTAACGGAATTTTTTTTGTTTAATGAAACTGATTTTTTCTAATGATAATAACAAATTGATAATTAGTAAAATTTTGTACTAAAAACAATATTTTAATTAGTTCATTAACTAAAAATCAATGAAAATATAAAGATTGTTTGATAATTATTTTAACAAAAACAAATTTATACAAGAATGAATAAAACATCAAGAAACTTGCATAAATTTGTTTAAAATATGAAAATGTTGGGTCAAAAGAAGTTAAAAAATGTTGAATATCAAGAATAAAAAGGTTTAAGAAAAATACAAGTAAATATAATTAATGTTGTGACAACGCGAAAAAGGATTGTCATGTATATAAATAAATCAGTTTATTCGAATACAGGAAAATTTCGTTTTAAGCAAGCAATAAAAGCGAATCAATTAAAAACATACGAATGAATGAGCATCATCAATCAAGTGCGGCTTACCATGATGAGAAAACGGCAATAAAACTAAACTTTATTACTTTTTTTTTCAGGAAAGACCGCACGAAATAATTAACGAAATTTATTGTTTTTCTTTTTGTCTTATTTACTTTGACACAAAATTTAATAACGATTACACAATTATCTACGTCGCTTGGTGCGAAATGTTTTGTAAATAGTGCTGATAATAGTAATAATTATCAATTTAAAAAAGAAAAAAAAATACGATTAGTTTTTAAATATTAAATAAAATATCTTAAGAAACTATTGACGTACATATTACTTGATTGTAACGCATAAAACATTGTACGCAATGAACTGCAATACATTATTTTTTTTTTAAATTTGACTTACTGACTGAACAATAACAATTTCTGCTATCTTTTCGTGAGTGTACTGTTTCACTTTTTAGAACCAATTAAAACCAAATTTATGGCAATGTTTAACTTGTTTTCTTTACTTATCAGTTCGACATGAATGCAGTTAAATATATAAGTTATTGTTTCTTATCGAAACAAAAAAACACGTTCAAGTTAATAATCGGTACTTTTTTTTGTTCTACTAAAATCAATGATGCGAATTGTAATGATTATGCAAGAAATTATTATTGATTATTGAATTGAATTGCGAAACGACATAGATAAGTTTTCAGACTGTAAATGTGTTAAATAAAAGTGTTTAGAAAATAACAAAACGTAATCTTTATTAACTATTAAAGTGTCGGAAAGGTCAAAACTCATTGGAATTAAATGTAAATGCGTTTAATTTTATCAAACATTCAAGAATTTGCGATTTAAAGAATATATTTTTTTAATTTTATTCACATTCTGTTCATCATTAAATAGATAATCTTTCCTGCTGGATAGTTACCATTGCGATGATTCGATTTTTATAATTTGTTGGTTAGCTGTCTTCTTGTAGCTTAACTTCAGTAGTATATTGATGCTCTGCGATTCCACTATTTCCTTTGACTGTGAATATGTTGCTATCCTTAATACTGTCATTGTCCATCGACTTGGCTGAAGGTCCATATGTTGAACCTCATTAATTTGACTGTCCATTTGTGATGAACGATGGACCTATTGCTGCAAGCACCGAGAGGGCTCACAAAGGGCCTGGCTTGACCAGGATTCGAACCTGCGCCCACTCGCTCACACACACTTAACCATTCGGCTATTAGTCGCCCTCAAAGAATATATACAAAGTAAATAAGATCTATTTCACAAATTCATTATTATTCCATATTAAAACAAACAGAAAATAAGAATAATTCGCAACAATTACCTAAAAAAGTTATAATCTTAGTGGATTCAAAAGTCCAAAACCTTTATCGTTTATGCAAATTGTTTAAACAAAACATAAATTTGCCACGACCCGACGAGATTACATGAACTTCAGCACATTCCAGTTCTTAGAATTACTTGTAAAACTTTCATGAAAAACAAAACGCGTACCAAAACCGGACAAATCGAGAATATATGTGTTTCAATTAAAAGTTAGTTTATTTCGAAATTTTCGAACCGTACTATAGTGAATCCGGACTGATCAAATCCGCATTAAACGATTTCAAAACAGAATCATTTTTTCATCATAAAATTAATGTTCACAATGAATATTGTAAACATATTTTTTATTTTTTTTTGATTGAGGCTTACATTGAAATGTATGATTTATGATTGCGTTTCTCGTTAACTGCACGCGTTTCATTCTCGTGGTGTCCGTTTAATTTGTCGAATATGAAAATGGAGCGGAATAATGAATAGTTTTCCTTGGCATTGTATTACATGCGTTTCGAAGGATACGTATACAAGTTATAATAGCCAATAACAAACGTGAAATGTCCTTAACACGAAAAACTATTTCCTTAAAATATCTACGAAATAAGTAAACAACATTTTTATTGTTCTTCCTTAATATAAAAAAAAACCTAATTATATTTTGATTCACTTTATTGATATACAGTGGAACCTTCCGTTCCAAAATTTCCGGATTTTTACTCGTAAAGTGAAACATATTCAAAAATACACAAGTCTTAAAAATGATGTAGCAAGCGCGCAATCCGAGATTTCTCTTCCCATCGTCACTCGTTATGCGAAACGTCGCTCGTTAAGCAAGTAATTTTTCTTACAATTCATTTTGCTCATTATCCATTATTTTCTTTGTTATCGATCAAACGTTTTCTGGTTCAAGAAACTTATCTTAATAAAAAATTATACTTATCTTCAAGTTATTTGTACATTCCAGTACATTACTTCTCATTTAACAATAGGATTTACTACTTGACGATATCAGATAATATTAATATAAATGAAATAAATAACAAATCCAACCTTCGATTTAAATCATTGAGTTTTTTTTTCTAAAATCCAAATCATTAATGTTATTTTTACATGTAAATATTTCCTACTTAAACAATGCTAAATATATTCTTTAATTTCTTCAATCAGTTTTAAATATATCAATGTTTTTAACACAAGTTTTTTTATTGTTATCAATTTAACTTTGTTTCATATTTTTTTTTATTTTCACATGATTGAATTAAGTCTACGTGACTCATTTTCATGAAAAGTTGAATTCCTTCAATGTTGTATATACACTTAATTTTGAATTGTAAATATTTTTCTATTTAATAATATGTTAAACTTTATCAAAAACACTAACAAATGTTTATAAGATTTATACATTTTTTTATTTTCAAATTTTTAATAAGAAAATTCAAAAATTCTACAAATTACTTTCATTTTTCAAAATATTTCGTTAATTTCAAATGTTTTTATTGTAGTTTCTCATTGAGTTAGTTTTAATAAGAAAAATTGAATTCCATCAATCCAAATAATAAAAGTAATATAGTTGCAAATATTTCCGATTTTTACAATGTTAAATTTATTTTACAACTTATTTTAGTAACATTCTTAAAAAATTGCTCAATATTTGAAATTCTATAAATATTTCGTTATATTTTGTAATTTTTTATTGAATTATTTCAGTATTTAAATAAGAAAAATCGATTTAGATAAATCCAAAGCAAAAAATTGATTTTTAGTAAAAATTTCCTATTTAAACAATTTTTCAAAATACATTGAAATCATTCGAATATTTACCACGATTTTCATTCATTTCTCAAAACAATTAGTACTGTTTTGTGTTATTACAATAAGTATGTTTTTTTTAATGATTCATACATTCTTAATCTATTTGGAATACATCGCTTTTTGTTTGTTATTGCAACAGTTTTATTGTTATCAAAGTAACTTTGTTTCGCGTTTTTTATTGTTTTTCAAGTGACTTAATTAGGTCTAGATGACTCATTATTTCATGATTTCATTTCAAACCAAACAAAATGATTGATTCATCGATTCGATCAAATATCGCAACGCACTCATTGTTTTCACTATTCAAATCCCAAACGATGATTAAACGAATCCGGTAAATGAACTTTCTATTACGAACCATAAATAGATCGAGGATAAAAATAGTTTTCGATTTACAACACACATTACAACTTTTTTTATTCTCACATCCACGCTTCAATTCATTTTCAATATTTCTCACCCAAATTTCATACAATAATTAATATTAGTTAATTTATTAAATTTCCAAATTCTCTATCTCTAAGTTATATAACTTATTTAGAGAAGTTGACTATTGTTTATCGATATTATCCAAGAAAATGAATCGTAGCGCACCGCAGTTCCCAGACCAGTATTATATAACAAACGGGCATTTCGCAACACGTCTAACATAGTGAACCGTATCTGCAGGAGCCGTTGCGTAACGCTTCTCTCTGCAAGACGAACGTTTTGTGTGCCGAAGCCAATGATCATAGTTTTTGTTTGTCTGTATTAAAGCTGCAATGGAAAAGTGTCTCATAGTAAATGATATGGCAATGCCTGAATGTGTTGACTTTCTTGTAATGTGAAAGCAAGTGCACTAAATAGACGCCTGTTGCTGCAACAAAACTGGAATAGTTCATCACCGTGTGTCTCTATTATTATTATTACTTCACGTGCGCTTTCAATTGAATTCGCCTGACATAATCGCATTTTAATAATTATTGCTTTTTTATATATAA